TATATATATTCTTTCTTTCTTTCTTTCTTTTAAACATTTACTTCTTGAACCTTCCTTAATCCTTTGCTGGCTCCCTGTTGGAAGAGAATCTATTAAATACTGAATGGCTGAAACAGGCAGGGGTCTAGACAGTTGCCCTCAGACAGTTGCCCCTTGAATATGGAGCCCCTCTGAATTCTCAAATAGAAGTGTCTAAGCAGACTTGGTGTAGACAATTGTATAAAGAACACTGGATCAGGAAACTTGATACTATCTAGTTTTTGTGATTACAAAGGTTATGACATCAAAGTACTTTCAAAATATGTAGGTACTTCTGTGCTCATGAGTACTGATGATTCAACGTGGCTACACTTTGTAGAAATGGATGATACCAGCTGTATTTTCTTCTCATTTAGTCTGCAGGTCTCTCTCTGGAAAGTGGATATAAATTACTTTGACAGGTGCTGGGCAAGGTAGTTAATGGATGCCTAGCAATGTGTTTCTCATAGGATCCTGCTTTATCCTGGTACATAACCTAACCTAGGGCCTGAGTGTCCAACTGGTAACTAGGTGTCCTTCTCTCAGAAAACTTGTTTATACTGGTAGATGACCCTGTGGCTCTTGTCTAACTTATTCCTACTAAGATGGCCACCTCCTAGAGGGCCCGAGAGGAGAGTTAAGATCAGGCATGTTGGGCAGGCGACACAGAGAGAAGGTCACACAACAAAACACATGAAAGTACAGAAGCAGTGCTCTGTAACCTACAGAGGAGAGCATACCTCACAGGGCCAATGGGAAGGGGAAACCATTCAGGACATACCTGTACACCTAGCAGTGGGGAGCAGGGGAGACAGAAAGACCTAGGCTCAAAGCCTTCATTGGGGTCCAGGGTGTTGCCTTAGCAGCGTTCCCACGGGGAGGTCTGACTTGTGGGTTTAAAGTAACTGGATATGGGTGTGATGACTCCCAGTGAGAGTGAGAGGCAATCACTGGCATATGGGGGACAGTGGAGCAAGGTAAGTCAGTTGTACCTACATGTCCCATAGGACAGTGAGCACCAGGAGGTTGGCTGCAGAAGGCAATCATCTGGGTTGATCATACAACTGAGAGGGGAGCGTATGAGTAAACCTGTGCCACGGATGACTGAGCTTGGTTCTGGTGTGAGGAAGTCTAACTTACACTCACAGGAGATGCCAAGGCCACACAGACTGCTCAGAAGGCACTACACTACATTTGGGTAGAAGCAGGCATAGGTCCTCAGTGGGTTCTGTGTAGCCCTTTCAAAACCAAGTGAAAAGACTAGGCTCATGGAGAAAAGACATTTCTGGAAGTGGACTTGCTCTCACATGGCTACACTACGTGCAAAGTACTGAGGAGCTGCTGTACTGTTCTCCCCTGTGGCTGCATTTTAAGTTCCCTTCAGCAGTGTGCCAGCGACTCCACTTCTCCACATCCTCATTGATGCTTTTAGTTGGTTAGCTTTGCTTTATGTTATGGTAATCCTAGTGGGTGTGAAGTGGCATCATTGTGACTAAGAAACTTCCTGCACTTAGTGGCCATCTGGATATACTGTCTGGAGAAATGTATGTTTAAATCCTTTAATTTTTTATTTGGGTTGTCTTTTGTTGATGAGTTATTAGAGTTCCTGATATATCCTGGATAAAAGACCTACATCAGAGACATGATTTACAAACAGTCCCTCCTACTCATGGCTTTTCAACCCATCCATGTCCTTTCATGCACAAAATTTTAAGAATTTCAATGAAGTCCAATTTACCTGATTTTTCACTGTGCCTTACATTTTATTTGAAAATACTGATTAAATAAAGATAATACATCTTCAACCCTTAAAAAATAATTTCCTTGAAAATTTTTATATGAACAAGAGAAAAAAATAACATTCCTTAAAAACCTCCTTGTGTCTTGTTATAAACGATACAGTATTCATATTTGGTAGATACAATTTGATGAATATATAAAGAAATAAAGAACAGAATTTTAATCTCTGTTAAGTCACCTTTATTATGAAAATAACCATTTTTTTTCTTTAACCATGTCTTTTTAGGAGCTTCCCAAATACTACGACAAGTGCCCTTTTTTCTTTTGGTTTCACACATCTTTTATACAAAATAACAGGTAGGGATATAATGTAATCAAATAGAAACAGTTTAATCTTCAGTGTCTGGATGTGAGGTGTAATGACAAGAATTTTAACCTACTGTCATAAATTTAGTTCATAGAAACCAAAGAAGTTCTCAGTCACTCTTCTTCATGGCCCTAGTCATCTTACTGTGCTTATTTTAAAAGCACAGTTGTTCTTGAGACTTACCGTTGGGTTGGCCTCAATGTCTGTGCCCACAACTGTAGGTTAACGTGGGATGTGCTCGGCCCCCAACGGTGAGAATGAACTCCTCCCCTGGCAGCTGCACCTGCTCAGTACCTGGAATATGGAAGCTCCTCAGGAGATGCTAATTTACTGATGGCTGACCACCAAATCTTATGCCAAAATCATGTGTGATTGTGGGAGGCCGCTGCTAAATTAAAAACTAATTAGTACACTTGTATCTACAGCAGAAGTTATAAAACATGATGCATATTAACGCAAATAGAGAATCTTTCATTTAATAATGTCTATGGGGTGTGTGTGTGTGTGTGTGTGTGTGTGTGTGTGTGTGTGTTGCTAGGAATTTAACCCAGGGCTTTATATATGCTAGGTAAATTCTCTAACACTGAGATACACCCCCTGGACCTAGAGTCTCATATTTCAGCATGATTTTCTTTCTTTCTTTTAAATGTACTTTAGTACAGGGTCTACAGGGTCTCACTACACAAATCAGACTCATAGTGATCCTCCTGTTTTCAGCCTGCCCAGCACTGGGATTACGGGGGTGTACCACCATGCTGGGTCTCAATCTCAGTGGCCAGCTCAGCACCCCTGGGCACGGGGCCGGCACAGCATTAAACTATGATCTAATTGAAAAATATTATCAATTTTATTATTATTATTATTATTATTATTATTTTACCAGGAATTGAACCTAGGGCCTTGCTCTTGCTAGGCAAGTGCTGGACTCTTGAGCTACTTCTCTGTCTGGGGTGATCTTTTTGTGGATTTTTTTTTTTGGTAAATTGACCAATTTTTTTTTTCTGAATGTGCACAATTTTAGCTGTCTTTAATAGAGATAATTAGGGGCCGGGGAGATGGCTCAGTAGGATAAGCACTTGACTGGCAAATGCAAGGATCTGAGTTCAATCCCCGGTTCTGCAAAAAAAAAAAAAAAAAAAAAAAAAAAAAAGATAATTAGGTAGAGCTTCATTTTCTTTTCCTCAAAAGTAGTTCTGGGGCAGGGGAGATAGCTCAATGGAATAAGTGCTTGTGTGGCAAGTGCAAGGTCCTGAGTTTGATCCCTGGTACCACCAAAAAAATAAAATAAAATAAAATAAATCTGAAGTAGTTCTGACTAAAGGATACTTTTGTCCTTTTAAATATCATCTTCATATCGAGAAGTAACACAGAAACTGTTATTGTCACTTTTATATGCTTCTACAGATATTTGTGACATGTAATTTCACATATTGATTAGTGAAGCTATAAAACTGGTATTTAGTGAAAACACCAACCTCATCATTTGGAAGAGACACTGTATTTTCTCACCAAGTTTTATTATACATCTAGTTTCTGGCTGATTTCTATCACTTACAAAAATTTAAATATATTAAGTCTGAATATTATTTGTGCCATGAAAGGCAATGTTAAAAGAATCTATAACATATTACTGTGGTGCTTATTACTGAAGATGAAGGTATCCTGTATCTCAGACACACAAAAGGGCTGAGGTCTTAATCAAGTTCCCACAAGGCTGTCCTACTGCATGGCTTTTTTATTAACTCTCAAATAAAATGTGAACTGGGCCTCTTGGCAAACACTTGGCATCCCAGCACTCTGGAAGGCTGGAAAGGAGAACCACATGTTCTATTCCAGTCAGGACAAGCTAGCAAGCTCTTGTTCCAAAATTACAAAGAATAAAAGGTCCTGGGATGCAACTCTGTGAAAAGGACCTGGGTTCAGTCCCTAGTGCCACACTTAGTGAATTAATGTAAAGAACACTAATTTTTTTTTCTCTCCTTAGGCTTTATCTACCAAGAAATGAAATAGACAATCCCCATAAACCAAAAACATGGAAAATTTACAGCTCCAGATTTGCAGTGGAGGTATATTTTGCTGAGAGTGAACCAGTTGTGCTATAGCTGGTATCTGATTAAAGAACACCTCCTCTCCTCAGAATCATGTCTTTCCCAATCCCTGCTACATCCTGTAGGTCTTCTAAATCTGCCTTTGGTGGCATAGTTATATTTATACATATATTTGCATCTGTTTCTGATAAACCTATTAAATATATACAGGTAAAATGTCAATGGTGATTCCTTGTGTTGTTCTGTTTTTGAGACAGGCCACCAATTTCTTTTTTGAAAGAATACACTGTACTTCTCATAACATTTGTGTCTTATAGTCTGACCAGTTTGGAACACACAGAACACAGAAATATTAGGTATCATTTTAAAAGTCTGGAAATAACACACTTCCTATCAAAACGATTGAGCTGTTTTAACACTGTAATGCCTGGCACCTTGCTGTTAGTCGGGCTGCTTAAAATGCAGAGGTGGAAAGACAGAGAGGGGCTGGTGAGATGGCTCAGTGGTCTAAAGCACCTACTTAGAACAAGCTTGGCAAAGCACAGGGACCGCGGTTCAATCCCCCAGCACCACATGCCAGCCAGCCCCGCCCCCAAGTGGGCTGAGCTGGACACACACACACA